GCAGGGCGGGCCTCCCCGGAGGCGACAGTGGAGCGGGCCCTGGGCCCGGCCTCGCGGCGCGACCCCGGCAGGCCCAGCCCCCACGCGGCCCCGCCCAGCCTCCCTTTGTTCCCCAGGCCCCGCCCCCTCCGCGCGGCGCCCTTCCCATTGGCCGGGGGGCGGGCCCTGGCCGCCTGGCCGCGCCAGGGGCGACGCCGCCCGGCGGACGCCGGCCGCGCATTGTCTCCGTCCCGGGTGGCAGCGGGGGCTCCGCGCTGCTGCGGCCCTGCGTGGGGCGCGTGGGCTGTCTCGGCGTGCCCCCCGCGCGCGGCTGGTTCAGCCTGTCATTGAAGGCGACCGCGTGGCCCTGCGGGGGTCGCCCCGTCCCCCCGCGGTGTGGCCGGCTCCGGTGTGTCACCGAAGGTGAGTGGACCTTCGCGCGTGGGGGTCCCGGGCACCGTGCGATGGGGGGGTCTGTCCCCGTCGCTCCCCCCCGTGTGACTGGCTCCGCGAGTGTCGCTGAGGGCGACTGCGTAGACCCGCGCCCGTGGGGTCCCATCCACCTGCCCCCTTGGTTTACTGAGCGTGACCCCCATTTGGGCGCGGCCCGCCCCCGTGCGCGCGCGCGCGCGTTTTCGGGGTCCTGTGCGTGTGCTCGGAGGCCGGTGGTGCCTGTGCGTGTTGCGGGGGGCCCGTGTGTGTGAATGTTGGGGGGCCCGTGTGTGTGAATGTTGGGGGGCCCGTGTGTATGCGTGTGTTGAAGGGCCCGTGTGTGTATTGGGCAGTCTGTGTGTGTCCGTGTGTGCGTGTGAATGTTAGGGGGCCCGTGTGTGCGTGTGTATATTTTGGGGGTCCATGTGTGTGCGTGTGTGAGTGTTGGGGGCCCGTGTGTGCGTGTGTATATTTTGGGGGTCCATGTGTGTGCGTGTGTGAGTGTTGGGGGCCCGTGTGTGCGTGTGTATTGGGCAGTCTGTGTGTGTCCGTGTGTGCATGTGTGTTGGAGGACTCGTGTGTGCATGTGTATATTTTGGGGGTCCATGTGTGTGCGTGTGTGAGTGTTGGGGGCCCGTGTGTGCGTGTGTATGTTTTGGGGGGTCCGTGTGTGTGCGAGTGTGTTGGAGGCCCGTGTGTGTCTGTGTGTGTATTGGGGGCCCATGTGTGTCCGTGTGTGCACCCGCGTGTGTTGGGGGCTCCGTGCACTGGCCGAAGTGCCCCTGGGTGCGCCCTCTGTGCGCGGGGAGCCAGCTGGCCCGCGTGGGGCGTAGACCGCGCCGTGGCTTGCTGCCGGCTGTGCCGAGCGCGCAGGGCCAGCGGCGGCGTCCCGGCTGCGCGGCTGTCACCGCGCCCCTTCCTGCTCCGCCGCTGGGCCCGGCCACCGGGAGCCGGCTCTGATTGGACGGAGCAGAGCCCCTCTGCCCGGCGCTTCTTGATTTCTTCCGTCGGGATTGGGAGGAAAAAACATCTGGAAAGCCGGATTTTGTAGCTCTCAGTGCCTGGACAGCGGAGAAACTCTCTCAAGTATTTGGCGGGCTGGAAAATGTTTTTGAAGCAGGAGAATCTACCCACGGAATGAGGCCAGGCAGTTACAGTTAGAGGTCAGATTTATAAGGGGAGAGCCAGGGTAGGGCCCGTGGGTGGGGAAACTGGATCTCAGCTTGATGGGAAGACCTGATGCTGCCCTCAGACTCTGTATTTGCAGGCACTAAATCAAGTGGAATCATTCATTAATTTACTCCTTCATCCAACTTTTGAAAAACACCTATTGTATTCCCAGATGATAGTCCTGTCTGGGGAATGCAAAGTCCAACTGGACAGCTTTGTGTTAAACAGCAGTAGGCATGAGGAGCCCTAATGTTCAACCTGAACTTCTTTCTGGACAGGAGATGAAGTATAAATAGCAGGGGTACAAGATGAAATTGTTAATAACCACAGCTGTCCCTACTGCAACTCCAAACTTGTCATACAAACCACCACTCTACCCTAACCCCCCTCCAGCCACTCAGCTCCTGCTGATCCATTTTTGTGGTCTCCATTTAAGTGGCACCTTGTCTCCAAATCCTTCCCTGGTCTCTTTAAGTCCTGTCTTTTAGGAGTTTGTGATCTTTAAGGACAGAGTGCTTTTGGAAAATAAGTGGTTAACCATAGCACAGCTTGAAAAATGTTCTGATAGATTTAGGCACAGTTTGTATATGAGGCTAAATGAGAGGTCCTTTGTCTATACCATGAATTCATGTTATTTTAAATCTGTAATTCTTTGACTCTCTAAAGGGTTTTTAGATTAATTTTTTGCTATTATTTACTAGTGTTGGTTGCCTAGTGCAGAGTACTTAATAAGAATTTACTGGGTCTACTTCTGGTGCTGGAATTAATTTACTGTTTGTTCCTGCAAGGCCATCTCTTCTGGGCTTCAGTTTTGTCACCTTCAAGGGTCTTAAACTAGATAATTTTTAAGAATCTTCTCAGCGTCCAACCTTTAATTCTTTAAACCAAATATAACAGAGAAAATTTCTGCTAGTGGCAATGGTATAAATAATGGGGATCTCTAAAAATGTGGATTCTAAAGTGGAAGTTCTTTTTCTTCCCCGTTTTTTTGCTTTTAAAAAAGTTTAGTGGCTTGGCTGTGTACTTTGTCTCAGAGTTAAGGACAAATAGCTATGATAGAACCTTAATAAACTTTTTGGTAATATCTTGTATTTATATTCTTTATTATTATGTTTTATTGGCAACATTGTAATTGTATCAAATTGGTTTTGCTTTTTCATTGATGAAGTTGTCGAGTACAGATCTTTTTTCAGGAACATTTTGTGAATCTTTTAAGTCTCATATAAAGTCTATCAACTGTAGGCTTCTCTATGTCCCAGTCTCTAACAGAGATTTTATTTTGGAGAATCTGAAATAAATTGAATTTTGGGAGTACCTTGAGTAGATGTACTTGGCTTTGTGTAACGGTTTGAAGCATAGTTTAAAATTACCACTTGCAAAACTGCATCATATATTAAGTAAGCTATAAGAGAGCTCCAATTTTAAGAAATATAGTAATTAATCCTTTAAAATATATTAAGTCCCTTTCCAATTTATCTATTTGGGAAGGTGGGAATTTGATGTGCTTGAGTTTCTTAAACTCTCTGTAGAAAGGATACACAATCTTCTCTGCTATTCTTAGTTATTTGGATGATTACAGGAATTAAAAATAGCTATTTGGGCCAGGTGCGGTGGCTCACGCCTGTAATCCTAGCTCTCTGGGAGGCCTAGGTGGGAGGATTGCTCAAGGTCAGGAGTTCAAAACCAGCCTAAGCAAGAGTAAGACCCCGTCTCTACTAAAATAGAAAAATGAATGGCCACTAAAATATATACGAAAAATTAGCCGGGCATCGGTGGCATATGCCTGTAGTCCACTACTCGAGGAGGCTGAGGCAGGAGTGGCTTGAGCCAGGGTTTGAGGTTGCTGTGAGCTAGGCTGATGCCATGGACTATACGCCTGGGCAAGAGAGTGAGACTCTGTCTCAAACACAAAAATAACCGAATAGTTATTTGGTTGAGAAATGCTGCTCAATTACAATTTTTGCTTAACTCAGTAGGATTAGGATTTTTGTCTTTATTTTGATTTGCATTCTTATCTTAATTTTTAAAAAGTTTTATTATATGCTCCATGTGGTTTGTTTGTTAGGGAATCTCATTTTAAGAGGGTCTTTAAAAATTGATCAGATTTTCTTTATGGTGTTCTTAGATTTTATTAAAGTTGTAATGAAACTTAACTAGTTAATGCTTGTTCTGCGTTGAGAGTATTTTTCCATTTATAGCATGCTTGATTTTTATATGAATTAAATGAAAAGGGTCTCAGGGAAGGGGATGGGGAAGATAGATTTTGAACAGCACTTTGCAGAGTTGTCCTTCCCTGCTTTTGCTTCAGGGCCCAGAGAACTTGACCCATCCCAGCACAGAAGTCCTCCCTGGCTTGCTGCCACTGGTGTGGTGTCTTAGAGATTTGCTGTGGCTGCTAGGAGTGTTTTAAAGGACGGATAGTACTTCTCTTTTTTCACATTATGATGATCCTATAAATGTGTCTTTTGTCTTCTTGTTTCCTGTGAGTGTTATTTGCCTGGAACAGAAGCTGAGAGATAAATTTTCCTGTACTATAAGTAATCCTCTTTACTCCCTGCCACCCCTGTATTTCCTACAAGATATTTTTTGCTTCTTTGTTTTCCATTTTAAAGTTCTTATTGTATGGGTATCTGTTATTGCAGGCTACCTCAGACTCTTTTTGGATGTTGACAGGATGTAAATAAATGATATATCAAAGATAATTTACTCTAGTTCTTTTGGGGAGGGGACTTTAATTAGAAACTTGGCCCCATTAAGGCTTTTGTGAAGTCCAATAACTTCTCTGAACTTCAGTTCACTCTTCTATAAAATGGAATTAGTTGTTATTAATACCTGTTCTACCTAGCTCAAGAGATTGTATTGCGGATCAAATGAAATCATTAATGTAATGGAATATTGTAAAATATTGTGTTGCCAAAGATTTTTTAAAAAAATGCTTCATTAAGAATTTAATGGCTGGGCGCGGTGGCTCACACCTGTAATCCTAGCACTCTGGGAGGCTGAGGCGGGCGGATTGCTGGAGGTCAGGAGTTCGAAACCAGCCTGAGCAAGAGCAAGACCCCGTCTCTACTATAAATAGAAAGAAATGAATTGGCCAACTAATATATATAGAAAAAATTAGCCAGGCATAGTGGCATGTGCCTGTGGTCCCAGCTACTCGGGAGGCTGAGGCAGTAGGATTGCTTGAGCCCAGGAGTTTGAGGTTGCTGTGAGCTAGGCAGATGCAAGGCACTCACTCTAGCCTGGGCAACAAAGCGAGACTCTGTCTCAAAAAAAAAAAAAAAAAAAAGAGAGAGAATTTCATGAGTCTGGGTTTTTCCTTTAAACTCCAAATGTTTA